ATGATTTTCCCAGATTGATACTAACAGCTGTTTACGAGAATATAAAATTTTCATGTGAAGATTAAGTTCATACTAAGGAATTGTGATTCAAACTAAGTTCAGGACCATAGTTAAGAAATCAGAGGCACATAAAAAGACTGAAGAATGAAATAAAGAAATAAACGGGTTTGAAGAACTAAAATAAGAAAACATAGGGTGTTTCTGTAAGAGGAAGGCAAACTTTCACGATTAATGGAATATCATAAAAAAAAATTTTTTTTGCTATAGAGCTCAACTTGTTTTCGACTGTGGAATGATCGAATTTTTTAGGCGATAACCCAAAATTTTTATTATTAACAAGGCGATAACCCAAAATTAACAGATAAATTACCGCTTTATTTTGAAATACTAACATAATAAGATGGATCCATGGTTCAAGGGAAATAGCGCACCAAGTTCGGATCCCAGTGATGGCTGGTGGATACGAACCGGTGGATACGGCTCGCACCGACCACAGTGTTGACGCAAAATCGTGGTTTTTCAATGGTTGACGGATCATGGGATAGAGTCCCCTTGTCGTCGGGCTACCTGTGGAGGTTTTCGTGGTTTTCCTCTCTTGGTAAAGAAAATGAGAGTTAGTTCCATCAAAAAGTCTCCACGATGTCACATTTCTCCCAATACTTGATATAGGAGTTTCCTTCTCTTCTGCATTGGGTTCAAAATTACAATTCTATGGAGTTCAACATTGGTAGTCCTTAACTCAAAATTTAAACTACTTTTCAACGATGAAATAATATGATAAAGTTTTTTCATCATTTTATTGTTAATAACCTTGATTTTATGTTCGACAGTTAATTTTACAGTCCTGGAACTGAAGCTAGGTTAGTTATGAAGTTCTTTTTTGTTTTAGTAAAATAAACCGAATTATTTTCTTTAAAATGAAAATTAAAAAGAAGTGGTATAAATGTTGAACATAGTAGTTACAGAAGCATATTTATTTACTAGCGAATTCGGCTATTTCATTTTGATTTGAAAAGCGCGGTAGGAAATATTAATACAATATTTAATAAATGCATGCCCTTTTAATCATTTATTCAACCTTTTAATCATTTGTTAAATGTATTGTTACTAGAAAAATTAATATTAAAATATACTATTTTTTTCCATTAACAATTTACTTTAAATGATTTCATACAGGCAACTGAAATATAAATAAATGATAGCTATTGATTGGATCTAACTGTAATTAAAGGTTTCAAAAATAAATCATTATTGGTAAAAAAAAGATCCTAACTAACGGAACCCACTTAACTCTTCCACGGAACCCTAAGACTCCACGGAACTCCATTTGAGAAGCGCTACTATAGAGCATGGGATTGCAAATGAAAAGAGCGGTTGTACTATGCTAATCAATCAAACAAAAGATTAAATGGAAAAAAAGAAATCAGCAAAAAAAAAATTACATTTATAGTATTAAAATTGTTTTAAACACGTATATCAACGTCAATTTAAAGCAAAATTAAAGTAAATTGGTTGAGTAAATTAAATTGGTAAAGTAAATTGGTTGAATTGGTTAATTCAAAGTAAATTGGTTGAGCAGTGATTTGAGGGAAAAATAATCACTTTTAAAAATCTTTCACTCCTGAAAATGTTTCAAAGGATTTGCTACAAATTTTGTATTTTATGAAAAAAATTACTTAGATATACATATTTTATTTTATAACCGTATTTTGAGTTTATGAGCACTAGCCTTGCAATTTTTAACCCAATCCAGAAGTAAAAGGAACTCCTGGATTAAGTATTGAGAGAAATTTGTCTTCGTGGAGGACTTCTAAATGGAACTAACCCGCATTTGCGTTACATGAAGAGGAAAACAATGAAAACCTCCCACGATTTACCTGACAAAAAGAGGACTCTAACCCATGATCCGTCTACCACTATGGTCTGTGTGAGGTGGGTGCAGAATTCGCATCGACCAGCCATCGCTGGGATTTGAACCTGGCTCACCTCATTGGGATTATTTTCCATTACTTAATGTATTATTTTCCCATAATTATTTCCATTATTTTGTAGCAGTTGCTTTCTGCCTATACTGTAAAATACAGCATACGCAGATCTTTTTTTTTCAAAAATTGAAAAAATAAATTTTTTCAGCGAAAGGAAGATGATTTCCAAACATCGGATTGAGATTTAATTTTAAAAATTCATGTTCACATTCATTCACATATAGTAGGGAGAGTGATTTAAATATGAAAATCCAGGTTTAATTCACTATAGCTATTTATGTTGAAAAACGAGGGAATAAATTTTTTCCTCTAAAAGAAACTGATTTTTAAGGAATGGATAGTGATTTTAATAGGAAAATTCAGATCATAGGTTTGGAACAAGAACTTAATACACCTCGAATGAAAACTATTTATTGGTAAAATTAAATATGAATCACATTTTGATTTCAAAAGCAAAAATAGATTGTTAATAGATTCTTACAGTCATAAAATAATTTGAAATTCTCACAAAACAATGACAGTCTATGTTGTGAATATTTTATTTGTGTATTATTTTAACTCCTCTTTTAAATAAATATATTTATTCATTCATTCACTATTATTGATTTCTTTACCAATTTTCGATTATTTACTTAATTTCATTTTTTATGAAATTTTTTTGCTGAATCTGTGATTGTTTGTAAAAAGGTGATTAATAGCAGGAGTTTAATCCATGCAAAATTATCTCTGAAAAATAAGAAGCTGTTTCAATCGAAGTTTCCTTATAAAACTTTGTCTCCAAGCAAAAATCACATCTGTAAAATATTGCCGACCTTGTCAAGGCGTCAGCAGGTCTCGACTAAAGAATATGAAAAGAAATAGCACCTGTCTTGAAAAAGCACACATGTACTTTTGCAAACAGTATAACGTTAGTCTATTAAATATACAATAAAAGCTAGGGGCTTCTAGTTTTTTTCCTCAGATATTAATAAAAATGAAAACAAAAAATTACTATGATAAATACATTTACAAAACTTTAAATTTATTGTAATGTGAATGGGAATTGCAAATACTAAAGACATTTATCTAAGTGCTGTTAAAATGCTATCAGAATCATTTAAGTAATTATTTAAGAGTTTCTTTACGAAAGTTTTGAATAATAATAAAAAAAATTTTATTTGAAAAAATTAAGGTAATTCATTGCATATGTGAAGTTTTTTTAAATTTACTTTTGTATATACAAACATATTACTGCTTAGGAGTTGTACAATTATAAGCCACATTTTCAAATTGTTTTCTAGAGAGTATTTTGATTACTTGCTTTTGGTGAAAACATCACGATCTCAACATTTAGTCAATAAATATGCCGTGGAAGTATTGGAAAATTGCATCAAAACCAATTTGGAAACAATATTAAGGAAAACCTTATCCTTGGTTTCATAGTCATAAGTGTGGCTTATCACTATATTGCCTAAACCCTTTCATATTTTTTCCATATTTCTTTTTAAGTTTTGTATAATTTTGTAATGGGTTAGCTGTTATAAACGTAATGTAAACTATTCTAAAAATATAAATTCAAGGTTCCACTTAATAATAAAGACAAAAAGAAATTGGAAGTCTTGCAAAAAAATAATGGCGAAATGTTAAAACAATACTTTGAGTGTCTCATACTAACTTCAGATTTCTCTTAAAGTTTTGTTTAAATCTTATTTTCTTGGTAACAATTAAAGGAAATAAATCAGATAGCATTGTCAATGGAAAAACTTCATTAGCTTTAAAAATTAAGCTGTAAAAAAACAAAACTTTCAAAACAAGGTGCCATAAGTTTTGTTTTGTGTATTCGAACACACATGGGTTTTGATAATGGGCGCCTTATGCTGAGCGCTCGAAACATGTTGACTTTTTACTCCCAATTTTTGAAGCTTATGAGGGTTTTTATTGACAAGTATATCTTTCCACTTCCGTTTCTTTGAATTATTCATTTGAAACGGATATGACTTTATATAAAGGGTTAAATGGGTATTCGATTGCTATATCCGATACTGGTTATAGTTATTCTTGAATATTACGGTGCACAGCTTAAAAATATATTTCGAACAAAAATTAGTGAGCAAACAATCCGGAAATTTGATGTGGGGTTGCTCTAAATAAAAAACAATGGCAGTTTATTTTCTTTTTAAGCAAAAACTTTCAAATATTGCTGATACATAACACTCACTGCTTCAAATGCATTTCCTTTATTTTAAACTGTTTTTAAGAATAATTTATTGAAAACTTTGCATCAAAAATTAATATCTGAACTATGAGAACACAGGAAACTTTAAAGTTACAGATAAAAATACAGTTTACCCTCTTAAAACAAAAGGATAACATATTGAAATTTATATTCAATTTTACTTCGAGATACATTGATTCAATAATCTATATTTTTTAGAGTTAATTTCAAGAAGGCAGTTATTTTTTCCTTTAGGTTTTCTCAAACAAATATTTAAAAACTACTACTGAAAAATTTAGTTAGAGAAGCCTTTAATTTAGCCTTGTTAACAGAAACGAACCTTCATTTTTTTTGAGTAAATTAGTTAAAACTGCATTTAGTGATCTACGTTTTTTAAATTTGTTTAAAAATATAAATAAACAACTGCAAAAAGTTTGCTATTACAGAATTATTCAGAGATAGTTCGTAATATTATTATGAAGCAGGGTTAAAAAGAGTTTAAGCCAGCGTTGTTTATCAAAATGAAATTTCACTTTTTTTCGCTAAAATTGATTTTATAAGTAAACATTTCTTAAAATTTTTTGAAACTCATGAACTGTAAAAGGTTTGCTATCACAAGGCTTGTCAGATGTTATGAAGAGCTAAAAAAATTATTACAATTTAGCCTTGTTTTTTTATAAATTTTTTTAAAGAGCTTTCAATTACTTATAATTTGTAGAACTGCTTTTACAAGTATACATTTTTAAACAGCAGTTGTACTTATTGAGGCATTTAAAAAAGTGAAGCTAAAAAATTTTAGAAAGAAATTAAACAAAACTTACTTGAACATAAACATGAATTTTTCCACACTTATTTGTTTCTACTTCTACATGCTGAAACAAAAAGAAAAGCTAATTAGAAAACTAACTTAAAATTTCATTAAATATGTATGCATTGGTTACAAAGTATATGTATTCATTAATATAATGCTATGTACATATTAAAAATATATATCTGGTAAAAGTACATAAGCGTTTTGCACAATAAAAACGATTTTCAAATGGAATCAGCTTAAAATTTATATATGCAGGAAGTTGGAATACAAAATGTACGCAGAGTAAAATAGACTGAGAAAGTATGCAAAAATTAAAAAGTATGGGTTAGTATGAAAAAAAAACTGAATGAAACATGCGATCCATAAACAAAACTCAGTGGTGCGACAGCCTCTGAAAGGCCAAGGCTCTGTACCCAGCCTAGTTTTCTTGACCTTGAGCTCTAGGGGTACAGGAGCAGATTTTCCGGCTGGGTGGTCAGCCAAACGCGTTGCCTCAAGCATGCTTGATACTCCTATTTATCGACCAAAAAGCTGAGTCCGTCTTACCCGGTCCGAGGATAGAACCTCGGACCTGTGGTGAAGCGCGAAGTGTTACCATTCTACACCTGGGTCACCCTTCCTTTAAGTACATGATAAAAAACAACAACTTAATATTGATATAAAATGGTATCCGTTGTAAATGGAATTAATTCTGATACATATTTAAGAAGAAAAAATGAATATTAGGAATACGACTGACCATTATTTAAAATGGTCATACTTTGGTGCAAAGAACTCGACTGATTACGCAGTTAAATATAGAGTTAAATATTACGAGAGCAGGAAGCGGATATACGGAGCCAAACACGAATAAAGTAACGAGATGAATAAAATAACACGAATAAATAACGAATAATCAATAACATTAATAATATGACACGAATAAGGAAAAAAAAACCAAATGGTGTTCAAACTTTAGCATGATGCATTTAGTAAATAATTAACGATAACAATGATGATAATAACTAACGCTCAAAAAGTTTGTTGCCGGGGAAATATTGACAAAAGCTCATTACAACTTTAAAAACCATATTAAAATAAAAATAATAAATTAGTAATTTTCTATTCAAAATTAAATAAACATAACACAGGAATCATAACTTGTTAGCAAACCCACTTATATGAAAAAATAATATTGTTCGAAATAAATTCAAAATGTATTTTTTTTTACAAATTTAGATCACTCGCTATTAAAGCTCGTAACTAAGTGAATTAGCGTCAGTTGAGATTAAGAAGACATATTCGGTAGTTTCAAGCTTCCAGAATTCATGATCATGTTTCCAAAATGCAAAAATAAATTACAAGCGACACTTTCAGTGACAAGGGATTTTTCGAGAGCCAACGATACAAAGGAAAATTCTCTAATGCCCGATGATTACGAGCTAATACGATCAGCGACGAACTATTTAATTAAAGTTAACTTGAGTACATATTACACAAGTGATAAACAGTTTGTGTCATTAAATGTCAGTTTGTTTAAAGCTATAAATCAACAGAGTGGAAACTAGGTGTGAGATACTCATTAAACAAAAGTAATTGAGCGAGAAAATAAATTAAATAGACATTTAATCATAACTGATATGCAACACTTAATAATATTATTTACTTAGAAGCAGAATTTTTGATGATAATATATGCTTATTGCATTTTGGAACTTAAGAACTAAGTTAGGTTAAGAATTATTGTTGTACAGATAGAAAAAAAAAAACGGACTACCCAGAATAATTTTTGATCCCCTAATGATCAGATTTTCACGTTCTAAGACCTAATCGTAATGGCACGAAGGGCTGATCTCAAATATGTTAATTAATCAGTGCAGACGATATTTCAAATTATGAAATTAGACACAAAAACGTACTTCCTCGGATTTCTGAATTGGTCGAATTGTTCCAGAGGAATCGAATTTTATGCATCTGACTTTTTTTAATTTAATTTTCACAAATTCGACAGATTTCTCTCAAATTTTGTATTTGCAAAATGATACAAATGATTAAATGATACAAAAACTTGTATACCTTACAATTCAATTTTTTTGTGTGACCATTCTTAAATAAAATGATAAAAAATAATAAATATTTCCTAAAGTTATTTTTTTGCATGGAATTATCTTTGGATAAACGAATTTTATAATTGTGTGCAAAAATGTTTCAATTTGCTTAGAAAGTTCTTGAGATATAGCGAAATACTCAAAATGTAAAAATAGCAAAGGGGTTCAAACTTTGGAGAGCTTTCTTGTCCAAACGATTGGAACCGTATTTCCCAGATTGCGGCTACCCCCTATATTTTGGGGGTTGGAAATCTGAATCCGTCGAAAAAAAGGTATGTTTAATTAGGGAAAGTGCGTTTCTTGTGTCTGATTTCGCGAATTAAAACATCGTCTGCACCTATTAATTAGCATATTTGAGGTCACCTGATCGAGCCATTAAGATTGAGTTCTAGAACGCGAAAATCCCATAATTAGATCACAAATTATTCAGGATTGGCAGTTTGTTTTTGGCGCACTGTACATCCATAAAACTACATTGTAGTTAAATAAACAAAAATGTGGTTCATAATATTTATTTAAATAAATAAATATGCCTCGATAATTTGCGGAATTAACTAATAGCTCCTGAATAGCTTAACAATAACTTCAGTAATGCGTTAATTCCTTATAATTTGTGAGCAAAGTTATCAGGAATTAAACTCAGAAACTGTTCGGAGTTTCATGATTTAATGCAGCTAGCAAATTAGACTTGTTTAATTAAATAATATTTTAAACGAATATATAAATAACATCATGAAATTGACAATTTAAGTTCCCAAATTAAGCATTAATAAAATTTACAAAAAACTTGATTGACAATTATCAAAAAAATAGATGAAATTATATACATGAAGTATTAAATTTAAGTAGACATAATCAAACTTAAGCTTAATTATGTTAACATAACAAGCTTAAGCTTAAATCTCAACTGCAAATTGAGATTTAAGCTTAAAGCCTATCTACTACCACTGCTTGAAATAAGATTCATAAAACTTTTTACAAATTCGGATCGCCTGCTGGTTAGGGCATTAAAGCTTATTTCTAAGTGAATTAGCGTCAATTAAGATTAAGAAGATATATTCAGTAGTTTTAAGATTCCAGAATTGATGTTTCCTAAATGTAAAAATAAATTGCAAGCGACACTTTCAATGACAAGAGATTTTTACAGAACGAACGATACAAAGGAAAATTCTCTAATGCACTGTGATTACGACGTAATACGATTAACGACAAAGTATTTAATTAAAGTAAACTTGAGCACATATTACATAAGGGATAAACAGTCAATTTGTCCCAAGCTATAAATTAGCAAAGTGAAAATTAGTTGCAAGATATTCGTTAGACAAAAGTAGTCGGTATACAAAATAGATTAAATCCAACATTATAGTTTATATACAACTCTTGATTATTAATATAATTTACTTAAGTGCTTAGTGATAAATTGCTGATTACATATTGACACTTAACTAAGTTTGGTGAAGGCTAATTGAATTAAGTATATCAGCAAAACTACAGTGGCGTTAAGAAAAAAAAATTATTGGTCTTTCGTGTTGAAAGCGGAAAAGCATCCCTTAAGAGGTTAATTATTTATTTAACACATTAATTTGACTTGTTAAATAATTAAAAATATAAATTAATAAATAATTAAATTATTAAAATATTTTAATTCATAAAGTAACTGTATTCTTAATTTCATTAACCACATGTTGGCAAATGATGCATTAAGTAAATTTTGTAATAGGTTTTTAATTTCATAATTGGGTGACAAATAGTGGATTTGGGAGACAATTTCATAAACAAATGCTACGTTTCAACAGCCAATCAGGATCGGGATACACGCTACGCCACTTGCAGGTATCTCAATATAAAATTAAACTTATAAATTTAAGTATTAACTAATAATTGGCATTATAATAACTAACATTAACTGAAATTTTTTTTTTACATGGTAAACACAAATATTGTTAGTTAATGTAAAGTTGAGAGTTGGACAATTTCAAAGCGCTAAACATAAACATTGCGTATTCAATATAATGAAATTTGCCAGTTTTTTAAAATGTTTCTGACACAAAAAAATAGGAAAGCAGAGCAGAATAAAAGGAGAAAAGGTCACTAACCCATATCTATCAGCGACTATATGTCCTAAAACCCATATGAGTCAGAGATAGATAAATTTCAGTCAGAGATAGAAAACAATTATGGAGAGAGAAGGTTCAATTTAAATTATGTTTCATAAAAGTAAATTACGTGAGTTCAATTACTCGTACATTCTATAAACTTTAGGACTGCATAATATTTTTTATATGTTTTAAAAGAATTAATATATTGTATAAAATATATTTATGGTTAAAAGATCATGTAGAGCTTATTAATTAATATGTATACTATTTTAATATATTTTAAATTATAATTTAAATTATTTAATTAAGAAAATTAGCATGCTTCTTGCAAAGTGATCAAGAAAATTCTATTTAAACTGTTTCGATAATTCTTTTTTAAGGGAACTATTTTCAAATTTCAACACAATTTTTTAAACAAATGATATTAAGATTTGACCACAAGTTTTTAAGAAAACTATTTTAAAAGTTTGAACAGAATTTTTCAAGCAAACGATGTGATAAATGTTGCATTAGAGAAATCGTTTCCTGATTTTCAGTGGGGAGTTGAAAACGATGTAATAAATTTTTTTTTCTATAAACTGTATTCGACAGTATTTTTTTAAGGTTTGCATAATTTAAAAATATGTTTTACTACATTTCTCACAAAAATACCGAAGAATTTTAGAACATGAAAGATCATGAAAGAAAATATTCCAAAACTTAAAAGATCACTCTGCAATATCTACACGAGCATTATGTTTTATACCATAAAATTACTCCTTGACAACGCATTGACTGCTATTTTCATATATTTCTCTTTCTTATTCTCGAAAGAATTTTAAGAAATATTATAAGAATTCCTCTTCAAAGTGATTTTACGAGCATTTAATAAGA